AAGAGTGAGAGAGGCTATCAGCAGAGGATATCGGCAGAGGTTACAGTGGGCATGTTGCCCAGGATCTGATTCGACATTTCTGAGGCAGACTTTGGTTGGACATCGGCAAGGGACTATTTTGGACTTCGCTATTGCGATCTTGGACTTCTCCCTCGCCTCCATCTTCATCTTCCCTCTCCCTCCATCCCTCGTCTATGGTATCTCCCCATGTGCGTGTACAAGGAGGGACCTTTCTTCTTGGTGTGCAGTCCCTCCTCTTCCTCTCACACGTGTGATGTATGATGGGATGTCGTGTCAGTCCAGGTCAGTTCAGGACTTACCCTGAAGTCTTCCGTTGCGCTATTGAGTGCCATTTTGCATGTATCAGGATGTACATTGCCTGTTGATGTTCACTAACATCGCATCGTCCATTCAGTCCTTTTCTTCACATTGCGGATCCTTGGCTCTACATACATTGCCCAACTGAGCATGTATCAGTTGGTACCGGAGCCCCACACGTGAATCAGGACTTATCAACCTGATCTGACACGTGGCCGGGGACTAGGGTATTACCGATTGATTGATTGATTGATTGATTGATTGATTGATTGATTAGGTCACACTAATTAGTCCCCAAATTCGCAAATCTTGACCTAACTGCTGAAATCAAATTTTTCTTTCTTTCTTTCTCCGATTTCGTGTTCCAGCTGTTTCTGTTTCAAACCGCAAATAGCATAGCATCCGAAATTCTCGTTTTTCCATTCTCTTTTGAAATTCGAAATTTCGTTGCTGGAAATCCGGAGGATTGTTACGATTTTTTTTTTTGATTGGTATATCCTTTTGCAATTTCCCGATATTCGAAAATTCCGCGAATTTTTGGACTTTCCGAAATTCGTTATTTCGAATTTTTTTTGGAAATCTGGTGTGTTGATTTTTTTTTATTCTTCACTCATTCTGGTGGTAACGGCATTCCGAAATTCGATTAGGACCATTACTCCAAGATTCTGAAATTGTTTTTTTTTTGGGAAATTCCTCTCACCCGAGTAATTCCGATTTTTTTATTTTTCGGAATTCGTTGAACTTGCGGAAAAGAAAAATATATATATATTTTCGCAGTTTTAATTCATATTATTCATTATGCAATAACCCATGTAGTAAGCCTCTTGGAATCTGAAGGCCTCGCCAGGCCACACCCAGGCCCAGGCCAAAACGGGGAAAAGACCCCAGCAAAGATTCAGGGCCTGGACGAGGAACAGTTGACAAAAGTCGACTGCCGGAAACCCCAACAGTCAAAGTCAAGTGTACCCAGCCCAGGCAGCCGGTCGGACACGCACATTTGTTTGTATGCAGGTACCCAGACAGCATCAGGTCCAAGGGGGAAAAATCTGCAACTGTACAATCCAGGCCTTCGGCTGTGACGCAATCTGGACGACTGAGGGGAGGGGACCGGACGCCAAAGAGTCTCGTCAAATGCTACTTAAAGACTGGCCTCGAGGTGGTCAACATTCAGTCTTGCTATGCTACTTTGATGCTGGCTCGACTTTGACTAGACGCTGGCATTATGCTGGCTCCACGCTGGCTCGACGCTGGCTGTGCATTGGCGATGCGGACGACGGCACGAGGTGGAGGCAGCATGCTGGCGCTTTCTGCATTGTGCGCCAGGCTTGCTGAGGTGGCATGCTGGAGTGGCGCTACCTCTGGTCTACACTGCTTGCTGAGTGTGGCGCTACCTCTGGTCTACATTGCATGCCGATGTGGCGCTACCTCTGGTCTACATTGCATGCTGACATGGCGCTACCTCTGGTCTAAGTTGCATGCTGATGTGGTGTTACCTCTGGTTTATAGTGCATGCTGATGAGGTACTGCCACTGGTCTCCATTGCTGATGTGGCATATGCCACCTGTCTCGACTGTTGACGTGGCATTGTCCACGCTGCCTACATGAGGTGACTAGTTGCGAGGAGGAGGAAGATCGGGATCTGTGGATGAAGGAGGTCGGGTATCACCTGAGGTTGACGTCGTCACTGGAATCTGCTATGTCTTCATGGTCTTCACGAGATAAAGTGCCACGTGGCACTATTGTGTGTGATGGGAATATACTTATTATCATTGTTGAGGTGGAGAGGGAAGAAGCCCGGAGAAGGAGAGGGGTCTGAAGGGATTATTACTGTGTAATCTTTAATCTTCTCCTTTGTCTATCCCCCCTCCACTCTATTCTTCTGATGGTAATGAGATACTGTTTGAGATATCACTTCACGATTTGGAGACTTTGATGCAGATAATGAGACAACTGATGTTTGATGACTTCTGAGTATCTGCCAGACTGGGTTCATTACAATTATTATTATTCATTTGCAGTCCGAAATTCGAAATTTTTTAATTGCTGATTATCTGCGGTGGGGAAGATCAGCGGACCTACCGAACTTGCCATTTCAAATTTTTTCTCGTTTCTCGAAATTTTCAGCAAAGTTCCAACTGTTCGTTTTTTTTTATTAGTGGTTCCTTATCTGGGCGATCCATTCGATCCCCACACCCCGCCCCAGCTATCTGTTCCATCCCCCTCCCCCTTCTTTCCCAATTGCCCATCAGTTACCCCAGCTGCAGCCTTGGTAAGTTATCACGCCTGTGTGACCACGTCAGCAATCCGCGGCGCATGACCGTGCTCACTCGCTCACAGACAGAGGAGATGGAGCAGAAGCAAGGTGAATCTGACGTGGACTATGAGACATGGATGATGGCTATGATGGCCGAAAGCAAGCAGCGGGCAGAGGCAGCAGCTGCTGCACGCAAGAAGAAGGAGGCAGAGGCAGAGAGGCTGCATCTTCTGGCAGAAGAACAACGGCAGAAGCACACAGCAGCAGCAGCGAAGGCCGCAGATGAAGAGCGCGTACGGCGACGGGACATTCTATTCAAGGAGGAAAATGCGGTACACACGCAGGCCAAGGATTGGCAGAAGGAGGCCGAGAGTGGGGAATCCACTGACTACGGGAGCAAGCTATCTCAACTGCTCAACCGCGTCTCGGACCTTCTCGCTACGTGCATTGCACAGCAGGAGGACATTCACTCTCTCGACCACGCCAACCACGCGCTACAGCAGTCAGTGGATCGGCTGACCAAGCACGCACATCAGCTGGAGCAGCGACCCGTCGCCTCCTCCAGCGCCGGCCCCTCCGACCTCGCCGATCGTGTAAACGTCTTGGAGATAGACGTGGGAATGCTCAAGACCGGGGCACAGCGGCTGGAGCAGCAGGTTTACGCACCGACATCCGGCCCTAGCACGTCGTCACGCGAGAGCATTCCCAAATTCAACGGGGTCCAGATCTTCTGCGACGCATCAAAGACGGACCCTATACAGTGGTGGCGCCAGTTCGAGCTCAAGCTGGACATCCACAAGGTCGTCAACAACAATCGACACGCATACTTGTACTCTCGGTCAGGAGGTGCGTGTCAAGCATGGCTGGACAACATGCTGTCCGCACACGCGTGCACAGTCTCCGAGTTGCATAACTTCATCACCTGGACCAACCTCACGGCAGCATGGCAGAAACGTTTCCAAGTGGAACCGCCCGAGCATCAGGTGATGGACAAGCTGCTGACATTCTCGCAGAACAGCATAGCAAGCGGAGACTGGATATCCGAGTTCCAACGCCTGGCGAGCACACCGAAACTGCCGATGACCTTCGACGGCAGCAAGCTCTACTTCGTCAAGTGGTCGTGCCTGGCGTTGCAGAATGCGTTGACTCAAGTCACCGAGAACCTCAACACAAGTGAGGAACTCTTCAACAAGGCCGCGCAAAACATCGTGACGAACATGGAAGCCAAGAATATTGGCCGTTCGTCGACATTCGGTTTCAGTGTTTCGATTCTCCATTGGTGTAATATTGGTGCAATGCTGCTTTCTGGACACTGGGACTTTCTGGCTTTCAATGTGATTGTGTAATCTGGATTCTGTCATCTCGCTATTGCTCATTTTCCTTGCACCCTGATTTACAGCTTATAGTTCGCAGTGACACTGTGAGGCTTGGAAATTTTCAATTTTCCTAGCTCAGTTGATACACCCATGAACTGTTGAAATATAGACCCGACTTAGAATCCAGATGCAATCAGGTGACAGAATAACGTAATTCTGAATTACCTGGGGCCGGTCATCTCAATGGTGATATTATGAGGCCGTGGCCCTTTTTCAAAAAAAGAGGAAGAGAAAGGAGAGAGGGGAAAGGAATTAAAAAAAAAAAAAAAGGTAGAGGAACAATAGCTGAGGTCCCCCACAATCACCATGGCATCAGCCACAAGTCCAACAAAGAATATGGCACCAACTAAATCCTTGTTCCTTACGTGGCCAGGAAAACATGGGGAACCATTCTGAGAACATGGAGAATCATTTGACCTTCGTCACAATCTTCACGGGGATTCTTGCGGACCACACAACGATGCGGAGCTGCAGATGTGTGCGATAGTGAGCAATCTCAAGGAGGATGTGGAGAAAAGACAACCTCGATTCTAATTTCCACTCAAGGAACCTTGCCAGAAAGAGTACAAGCACAACCCCCAGAAAATGAAAAACAGGACTCTGCATTGCTTCCAGAAGGAACAGGACAAGCAGCATGACATCACAGGTGTTCTGCAGACGAAAGCTGCAAAAGTTATGGCATATGCAAGGCCAGCAGGGAGGAAGTCAAGTATGTAAGAGCCGGACCTGAACATGGATGCCTAATGGACTCTAACAGTGGCCCACTTTCATTTACAGAAATGCTTTTTTCCATGGCATCATTACGTCTTCAGTGTGCATGCCTACATCCCAGGGGACAAGGACTTGGTCCCTTACACCTCTCCCTTACGTCTTTAGTGGGCATCCCTATATCCAAGCCTAAGGGAGAGACAGCATAGGGATCCTCCATCATCTTCCCGCTAGTAGTTGATGTGTGGTTCTCATCACAGATGACACAAAGAGACTGCAAAAGAAGTACAAGCCCCCACCCTCTGTTATTCACAAGGGAAAGAACAGATTGCTATTTTACTGACCTGTTACAACAGTGTCTCGCAAGGCGCGTTGCATACGAGTGATTGCCTTCTCACGAGTAGGTGCCCACACAACAAGCTGGGACCATGAAATCAAGAAACGCGCCGCCACACGCGGTTGTACTGTCAGACTTTCATAGTCATACTCAAGCAACGGAGCAACCAACGCAGATGAAAACTGCTGTATAAATCATGGCTACGGCTATGCTTATCAGTGTGATGAGAGGGAAATAGAGGCTGCCTTCAGAAAGGGTCATTTTCACAGCAGCTCTTTCGTGACTGTTTCTGACCGTAAATCCCAGCTTTACTCAAAACAGCAGCGACCGCAACAAAGAGCTCTCTCCACATATTCGCGGCCGTTTTTTATTCCAGCTCTCTCTTTCACACACACGTACACATGCACACATGCACACATGCACACAGGCCACTCCCCAGTACGGCTGACTTTCCTCTTCCCCTTTCCCTTCATAACTCCCTCCGCCTTCTTCCCCACATCTTCCCCTGACTACTACTAATACTACTACTACTACTAGAACTACTATATACCGTGACTACTACTATTCATGCACTCCATTGGCATGCTCACAACCCTGCTTCCCTCCCCAAGTTGATAATGTGATCATATCAGCACTATCACCCTCTTCTTCCTCTTTGATGTGGTGATCTTTTCTGTCACCATCGTCCTCACTCCTCTGGAAGTTCTTACACCTCCATGCTGATCTTCCCCATCGTACTGCTGTATCTTCCTTAGCACAGGCACCATGCACCGTGGTAGGCTTATTTAAGCTCACAAGAAAAGTGTCGGCCCCCCTTGTTCCCCCTCCCCCCTCCTCCTCCCCCCCCCCCAACAGACAAAGTAATGTCTCTTCTGCAGCACAGGCACCATGAGAAAAAGAGAATGTCAATGCCCACTCCGCATTCTGCAGCACAGCCATCATGAGAAAAAGAATGCCAATTCCCACTCCGTGCCCCCCTGTCAGATGCCCATTCCGTCAGTTTACTCCCACGTACGCATCACAACAGTAGATGAACTGTCTCTCTTTGCTTCTCTCTCTAGCATCTTCACCCACCTATGAGTCTCAGGACCTGCTGATCTCATTTGTCTGCATGCACATACTGACCTTGCCAAGAAGTGAGTCGTAGGTGGGAGGAACCAAGTAATCTGCGTAGAGATGGCTGTCCATGCGAACAAATGGACCTCCAGGCGGAAGGTACGCAGTCACTAGTCCTACATCAGCACCACCATGAAAAGAGTCAGAGACAAGTTCGCAATTTAGTTTTGCATAAGCAACCACCTTTTCTTATTATGCACTCTGCTAACCATATGCTTCTTTGTTACATGGAGAAATCCTGTCACTCCTAACTGCCACGTTCAAGAAAGCACAACAGTCACAGAGAATAACGAGAAAAAGCATGGCAGTACTTACCAGGGCCGCGTGGTTGAGCTTCCTCCTTACCTATCGAACTCCACATCTCACACCCTCCACCTATGGATAGATAGAAATGAAAGTACATTGCTTAAATAATAGATGAATAATAGAATATGTATCATGGTAACCGACCGGACGTCCGGACCGGTTTCCAGACACCCCCAAACATTATGTAGTGGTCCGGTGTCCGGTCCTGGACGTCCGGAACAGGCCCCCCCAACGAAAAATCGAAAAAAAGAAAGGGGCCGCCAAGGACATTTTTTGGGTCCTCAGTGGTCCCGGAAAAATGCTGACCCGATTTTTGTGCGTCGTTTCGCCCTACCGGACATAGGCCGAAGGCCGGACCCACCACAGTCTGTGCAGACTCAGGTGGGGTGGTGGGAGGCAGGGCCAGCACTTTCAAACTGGCCGTTTTCGAATCTCGCGGGCGCGCTGTTCGGAAGCCGCCAGCTGCTGCTCGTCACGCCCCCCCTGCAGCCCCGCAGCCATCCACGAGGAAGAGGCCATAGCCGACGAAACAGCCAGCCGCCGCCAACGTCCAAGAAGCAGCCAGCCGCCGCCAACGTCCAGCCCTCGCCGACGAACAAGCCAGCCGGCGCCATCGTCCAAGAAGCAGGTCA